AGACTGTCTGTACGCTTGACAAAGTTGGCTGGCCACTTCTGCCCAACCTGGCCAGCGCCGCGCGCAGCCAGCAGCTTATTAGCCATATCGCGCACAGCAGCATACGTGGGCGCAAATCCACGTAGATCTAGATCAAGTATATAATCAACTATCACCTCCTCTTCTAGCTTAGTGAGCTTCTTTGAGTTAGGCTGGCAATCGCGTTGAGCAGGTATACCAGCGCGTCGGCGGCGGATTGTTCGTTCAGACACGTTGTAGACAGCAGCAGCGCGACGATTACTTTGTGTTTGATGGAGATTAATAGAAGAAATAGCAAGCTAAATATCTACTTCATTTAAAGCTAATTAAGTAGCGCTACGTTGAGCCATTGTTCGTTGAGATAGGAGAGGTGCGCAGGTTTGGTGGGGTGCGGCGCTCGCTTGCCTGCGGCGCTCGCTTGCCACATACGTTATGACGAAGGGACCGCTTAGTTATAGCGTGCCACGCGACCCCACATGACTAACAACACCAAGACGCCACCACACACCCTAGGACCTAGGTTCGAGGACGAACCTATGGGGAGGGAGGATGGTGTTACAATCCGTGACTAGTAACAGATGAAACTGCTTACTAAGTGATCAGTTTCGAGGATCCAAAGGATGCACTACGCCGCAATCCTTCGCAGCCGTGCCGCAGTCACGTGACCTGCTCAGTGATCAGTATGTCTTGGCACTACTGAGCAACTGAGCACTCTGCATGCAACCTGCAAGTTGCTCAGTGATCAGTACCTCTTGGCAGTACTGAGCAACTGAGCATATTGCATGAAGCTTTAGTATATAGCACTAGGCATTGAGCCCTTATAGCTCGATGTGTTCAACTTAAGTTTTGAGTACAAGTACAATACAGAGAGTTATTCTACTTGCACGTTACCGTCCTCGTTTGCACCCTGTCACTCTATCTGCGAAAACCAACCAACAAGAAGATCAACACCAGAAGTCTGATATTACTTCCACTTGATCTATACTCTTAACAGGAACTAGCCCTATACAAGCTTAAGATCTTCACAAAGGGCTCTCCTATAGTCGTACTTTTAATTAAACTTTATCTTTAGCTCTAGGCAACGCTTTATAAATGCTTTAGGCCAGTTTAGGCCAACAAGGTCGCAGTTACAGGCAGCTAGCAAAGAATTAGCTAGATCTTTAACAGCAGAAAGGCGTAGGGGAAATCCTTGCGCATTAAGGTCTAGTATATAGTCAACAATCGTCTGCTCTTCTATTACAAGAAGCTTTATTAAGTTAGGCGTACAGTCGCGTCAGAACGTCTTTCTAGCTAGTCAATTACTAATTAATCTTTAAGGTACGTTATAGAGAGCTGCAGCGCGCCATTAAGTTAGTGTCGCGTCTTGTTTAATAGCTTGAAGTGCGAGTTGCAATTAAGCTTCTCTAGTAGAGTGTATATCACTTTGTTGTTGAGACATCACATGTTATGGTCATAGAATAGTCAAAGTTGGTGGGGTCTTGGCGCCGTGAGCCACTCGCTATACTGAGCCACTCGCTATACTTTGACGTTATCAAATTCAAAATAACCCATAATGTATGCTTTATAGTATGGACGTATGTACGTGTCTACGAAAAACAAGAATCGAAACGTATGATTGAAAAATGCTTTCTGAAAGACTGGTGTGTTTGTTCATAAGTAGTCATGATTTCAAGCAGCAGTAGCAACAGTGCGGCTCTCATCCTTGTTCGCGCCATGGATGCCCCCACTCTCGTGCAGCCTGCGCAGCCTCTCTTCCTCCTTCCGCTTCATCTCCTCCTGGATGCGCACCCGCTCAGGCACAATGCGCTGCCTCTCGCCCGTGATGTTGAAGCCGGGGATGCGCTCCACGCCCAAGGCCTTCATCGTCTTTCTCTCCACCACGCTGTAATCGGCATCCTCACGATCAAACTCAAACGGCTGCTTAACGCTAACGGGGGGATTCGTGATGACGCGGACATTGCGCAGCTGGTTGTTGGACGCCGAGTGCAGCATGAGCGGGTGCAGGAGATAGACGTCGCCGACGACGCCCGTGGCCTCTACAAAGGCGTCGTCGGGCATGCTAGCGGCCAGGCGGTTGAACCAGCGCAATCCGTTTTCCTGGACAAAGTCTGGGTTCTGTGCGCGCGGCGTCATGCGCGGACTCACGCCGTCGGGGTTCTCGTACAGATGCTTGGCTACGTGGGGGATGGCGGCTGGGCAAATGTAGGTGCCGCCGCCGCCGGGCACAATGTCTGTCCAGAGGGGGATGACGAGGAGCGCTTGCTCCGGGCTGTCGAGGTAGTGCACGAAAAAGTCGCCGTCGACGTGCCACTCGGGGAGGTCCTGGGGCCGCACGACTTTGTTGTGGCCGGCAGGCGTGCCGAGATTGACGATGAAGCCGTCTTTCCACGTCGAGGCGTTGGAGTCGACGCGGGCGGAGCCGCCGAGCAGAGAGCAGATGCCGCCCCAGGCTTTGGGAGCGAATTCCGAGACGGGGAATTCTTTGAAAAAGGGCATGTTTGTTCGTTCTGTGTGCCTGGGAGAACATGGCTGTGTTAGTAATGTGTGTTGTGGTTGCGCGAGGTTGAATATTCGCCAACGTGACCCGATGCAAGACGGAAACGCCGTCATGTTCGTATTACAAGGCTAGAAGCATACCATGTCGACATGTCTTTTGGATCCATGCCCAGTCTGGTCCAGAGGTTCTCTTGGAGGCTTTCGGCCTGCTCCCGTGTGAAACAATTGCTCAACTTGAGCCAGCCATTGTCCAGGAAAAAGTCAATCTGCTCCTGTGAAAGCTTATACTGCTCTTCCGCGTCCGCCATGTTTGATGCTACCCACTCGTTCAACCTACAGTGTGGATCGTGAAGGTATTTGTTGAATGCGATATAGGCAATTGCCCGGAAAGAGACCAAGCTCTGGGCTGGAAGATAACCAACGTTTTTATAAGCTACGAATCAAGCACTACATGGGACTAGCGCAAGCAGAGCGATGCAGTCTACATGTTGACGGTGCGATTGGTAGCAAGTGGCCTATTGCGGCTGCGTACCAGGGCTGCTAACGGCAGTTTTGCCGATTATCCGGTGGAAACGCTGGACTGGAGCCCGTCGGTACTGGCACACGTGCCGCTGGCCTGGAGCATGTGCGGCTGCGGGGTGAGCCGTTTGGGCAAGCCGGGCGGGGCAGGAAGGCCTGCTGCTGAGGACGCGTCCGCGGCGAAGTGGACGTCGAATCGTGTCGTCGGGGTCAGGACGTCATGAGGCTGCGCTACGGCATGACGGGTATTTTCATGGCGATGCATGACAAAGCAGAGGCGGAGGGTGACGGGGAGTTGGAGGCGGGGAAATGGGGAAGTGGAGAGGGGCAACGTTGGTGTTGGTGAAATTGGGGTTTGTCTTGGTGGTGTACAGTAGGCTTGGCGTAACTTTTTCGTGCTTGCTTATCATCGGCTTGCACAACTCGGGCGACGGCGCTATACAAGTCATCATGTTATTTCCTGCGCGGTAATTGGGTGGTCACGGCCAAGTTCAATCATCAGGCGCTGCGGTGGCATTAATTGGAGCATCAACTACATGCTACATGTAGAGACTTGACTGGGTGACGCATGGTGTTCCTTGTCCTTGCTATTGCCCGGTCTCATACTTGGCTTGTAGACGGAAACACTTAGTTGTCGCAAAAAGCGGAATGGTCCCACCATGGAAGGTTCAGAGAAAAACTGTGCCAGAGAGTTGACAGCTGTCGAGGCTATATTAGCTTTTCTGCCAGACCCGACTGCGGCACCTGGGAGCGACAGATTAAGATAACGGCCTCGCGTTGCCGTTCGCATGGCCCACGGGGTTTGCCTAGAAAGTAGGCACCACGTGTCCTCGAGTGGTTGCGGTAATTGATTTGTCTACACTACAGTAGATACTCAGCCTGGCCCTCGTACGCTACTGACCACAACCCTGGATGCTCTCGTAATCCTCGGTGACCGATCATGTAGCGGGCCGAGTATGGGGACGACTACCATGGAATGTACCCCACTTGCTGGCCTGGATTGGAAGCATACGGATGGGGGCGCAAATGACGATAATGCGCAGGGACGCCATCTAGTGAACACCTGGCCTCTCGAGGCTGACTGGCGGTTGTGAGCGTGTGCCTCGGTCGCAAGAGATACAGGCAGTGAATCGGCGGCGCGGGCAGCGTAGATTAACAGCACTATGCAGAGGCAGCGAGCCGGGTGGCGGCTAGCCGCAAGCGGGGGGGGGGCCGAGCAAGGAAGGATAGTGAAGGGCGGGATTGCAGAGAGCAGAGCAGCGAGCAGCGAGCCATGGCATGGGCAGAGGATGCGGCGAGGCAAGGCAAACGTGGTCTTACACTGGGTAAAGCAATGGGGGGCCTGCGCAGTCCGCCGTCCGCAGACCCGCTGCAGGTGCGTGGGGCGCAAAGGCGCGCTAGGCTGCTTCCAGCCGGCGACTTTGAACTGGCAAGGTGTTCACAGTATCTTCCGCCACAACGTCGAGCGCATAATAAAAGGCCCTCTCACCGCTCTCGCTCTACTTCTACCCCATTCGCCGTGCAGAGGACACTTGACTTCTTCCTCGACACACGCTCAACCCCCCGCCTCCTCCCACAGCACCATGAAGTACTCCACCGTCTGCGCCGCCTTCTTTGCGGCTGTCGCTGCTGCGTCCGACGTCAAGCAGCTCAAGTCGGACGACTTCAAGGGCTTCATCGAGGAGCATGATCTCGTCCTTGCCGAGTGTAGGTTTGCCCCTCAATTGCATCCGCCGCCCCTCAATTGCATCGCTAACACTGCCCCAGTCTTTGCGCCCTGGTGCGGCCACTGCAAGGCCCTCGCCCCCGAGTACGAGTCTGCCGCCACGACGCTGAAGGAGAAGGACATTGCCCTTGTCAAGGTCGACTGCACAGAGGAGCAGGACCTCTGCCAGGAGTATGGCGTCGAGGGCTACCCCACGCTCAAGGTCTTCCGCGGCCTCGAGAACATCTCGCCCTACAGCGGCCAGCGCAAGGCCGACAGCCTGGTCTCGTACATGACCAAGCAGGCCCTGCCCGCTGTCTCGGAGGTGACCAAGGACACCATTGCCGAGTTCAAGACGGCGGACAAGGTGGTGCTGATTGCCTACTTTGCCGCCGACGACAAGGCCTCCAACGAGACCTTCACCTCGGTCGCCAACGGCCTCCGCGACAACTACCTGTTCGGTGCCACCAACGACGCTGCCCTTGCCAAGGCCGAGGGCGTCAAGCAGCCCGGCCTCGTCCTCTACAAGTCGTTTGACGAGGGCAAGGACGTCTACACCGAGGCCTTTGAGGCCGACGCCATCCGCTCCTTCGCCAAGGTTGCCTCTACCCCGCTCATTGGCGAGGTTGGCCCCGAGACGTACTCGGACTACATGGCCTCTGGCCTTCCTCTGGCATACATCTTCGCCGAGACGCCCGAGGAGCGCGAGGAGTTTGCCAAGGAGCTGAAGCCTCTGGCTGAGAAGCACAAGGGCAAGATCAACTTTGCCACGATTGACGCCAAGTCGTTCGGCCAGCACGCTGACAACCTCAACCTCAAGGTCGGCACCTGGCCCGCCTTTGCCATCCAGCGCACCGAGAAGAACGAGAAGTTCCCCTTTGACCAGGACACCAAGATCACACAAAAGGCGATTGGCAAGTTTGTCGACGACTTCCTTGCCGACAAGATCGAGCCCAGCATCAAGTCTGAGCCCATTCCCGAGTCCAACGATGGCCCCGTGTCGGTTGTTGTCGCTCACAACTACAAGGAGATTGTCCTGGACAACGACAAGGATGTTCTCCTCGAGTTCTACGCTCCCTGGTGCGGTCACTGCAAGGCTCTTGCTCCCAAGTACGAGGAGCTTGGCCAGCTGTACAAGACTGACGAGCTCTCCAAGCTCGTGACCATCGCAAAGGTGGACGCGACGGCCAACGACGTTCCCGATGAAGTCCAGGGTTTCCCCACGATCAAGCTGTTCCCCGCTGGCAAGAAGGACTCGCCCGTCGACTACTCTGGCTCGCGCACTGTCAAGGACCTTGTTCAGTTTATCAAGGACAACGGCTCACACAAGGCCGAGGCGACGGTTCCCGAGGCTGTTGAAGGTATGGTTCACCAGGCTCCCGCCGCCAGTACAGAGGATACTAATTCTGCTACAGAGACTACCGAATCCGCCAAGGAGGCTGTCAAGGAGGGCACCGAAGCTGCCAAGGAGGCTGTCAAGGAGGGCACCGAAGCTGCCAAGGAGGCTGTCAAGGAGGCTGCATCAGAGGCTTCGGCGTCGGCCGCAAGCGTCAAGGACGAGCTGTAAATGGTTCCGACGTTTTCGTTTCTTTGGTTATGAGCCGCGCCTCTGGCGTATACCCTTACCACTTTCGGCATCGTGACATGTGTCAGATATGCTGAGGTACGAGTATTAAAACTGTTATGATTACATGGAAGGGTCGGCAAAGGGGTTTCCTTCTTATTCCAGACTAAGGGGTTAGGGTAGCGATTAGCTAATGGAGTTCCGGTTCGTTACTTCAACACATTGCCTTTGTGCTGTGATTGCATGTATTGCTGTGAGTGGGCGGTGAAGCATGTGGAAGAGTGGTAGGTGTACATGCATTTGCTTTTATTCACCGGCCATGTTTGCCATGTTGCCGCAAGATGGATGCGGTGTAGTCCAGGGCTAGTCCTACCGACTGGACCGACTCTGCATACTGCACGGACCCAAATGACAGGTGACGGGTCTGACATCGGCGAGACGGCCTTGTTTTTAGGCGACGTGCGGCATGTGCATGGGAAATTCCATCGCCATCGCAATCGTAATCGCAATCGTAACCGCGCCGGGCCCACTTTCGGATCTCGGCGTCGTGGCCGAGCCTTGTCTAGCGTGCCGCCCCCAACCACTATTTCCAACGTCGTCATCCATATGTCTTTGGATGCATGGCTTCAGTAAATGTGACACTACAATGCTGAATGCACTCCATATCGACGTCATGCTGCCTATCATGTCTCCCTGTGCGAGCCACATGCGCTCGTTTCGGATTCTGCCATCCGTCTTGACCGTTGTATTCTGATCTCACCGTTACGTCCCCGTACACCTTCATAGACCAAGTAACATATCTCGACATGTCCGCCTCTCGAATACTTGTACGCTCGTCGAAGACAGTTATACCACGAATTTACCTTGCTTCCCACATCAAAACATCTTTCAGACCTATCCCTAGATATTTTTCATCGACACGAGCATTCAGCATGCCCGACCAGCTCAAAGCCAGCGAGGTCAACTCCAAGACCGACCCCTCTGTCGCGAAGCAGTACGACGAGGAGACGCCCAAGGACCAGCAGATTAAGCAGTTCTTTGAACTCGTCGACGGAAAGAAGATTTGCATGCTCAACACATATCGCAACGGCGTCGGTACGCACTTAGCCCTCACCTACTTTCATATCTGCATCTAATATATGAGTATAGGACCTGTTGGCCGCTCCATGGCGCTCGCACGTCGCGACGGCCCCGACCTTCTCTTCCTGGCCAACGCACACTCGCAAAAATTCAGCGACCTCGAGCAAAACAAGGAAGTCCAAATCTCGTTCCAAGACCTCAAGACACAGGAATGGGCGTCCATTACCGGCACAGCCACCACCACCTCCAACAGCGACCCACGCATCAAGCAAGTCTGGAGCCGTGGTGCGGCAGCGTGGTTTGGAGACCTGGGCGACGGGACGCACACTGGTGGGCCGGAAGACCCGCGCATGACGCTGATTGAAGTCAAGGCAAAGTATATCTCGTACTATGTGACTGACGTGGGGCTCTTGGGCTATGCAAAGGAGATTATTCAGGCCAATGTCACGGGAGGTGTTGCGAACACGGGAAAGTTGCGGGAGCTCCACGAGGCGGATATCGAGAAGGCGAGGTCCATGTAAGTTTATCCTATAGTACTTGAAGTACTTGGAACAGACATGGGTTTAAGTATATTAGACTCGGATTGAAGCTTTGAGCTGTTATTTTCGTGGTCATGAGTATTTTTGTAATAAGTCGGTATGTACTTGACAAGTGAGCAGATAATCACCGTGACGTAACTTACTCATACCTTTCGTTCCCAAAAAGTCACATATGTTAGATACTAGTATTTTTTTTTACAGCCACCAATAGCGCCAGAACTCCGTGCACGCATGGCTGTGCGATCACAAGTAGGTCGCGGCATCAGCAGCCTCCGAGATAGGAAAGACTTGACTAGCGTCCAAGGAATGCTGAGAACGAGGACCCCCACGAACATTCACGTGGGAGGGACATCAGCTTACACTTTCTTTCCCAACCCGGGCTGTACTGCCACAGGGAATCTTACGCGTGCATGAACCATGTCAGCGGTGCTTGGGTTGCTATTGGTAGAATGGAACGGAGATGTTGGTCGACTATTGTACACCAACAATGGAGCTTTGACATAAAGGAAAGGAAAACATGCCATTCGTTGGCTGGCGGGCTGCTGCTGATGAGATGTGGAGTAGACTGGAGGAGTAGTTGGTGCGAAGGCGCATCAGCAACGACAACGGCGGCGGATGTGGAGCAGAAGAGCGTGAGAACAGAGAAAGAGATATAAAAGACAACGTACTTTGCATTTCTCAGATTCCCCTACTTACATCCAGCAGCAGTTTCACAACGCAGTTCGTCTATCTAGTATCAGCCAAATCTGAACATGTACTTCACCAGCACCACCACCGTCCTGGCCTTGTTCACAGCCATCATGGTCCCACCCACAACCGCATCGCCTCTCTCTCCCCGCCAAGGCGGCGCCTTCGTCGCCGTTGGCCTCAAGTACTCCGGCCCGGGCTGCACAGCACCCACCCTCATCAACGCAGACCCGATTTTCGGCAGCGGCAACGTGTGCCAGCCGCTCGACCGCTTCAACACCGGTGTCGCGATCCGAAGCTACAGTACGACGAGCGTGTCGCCTGGATGCAGTGGTAAGTTGTTGCTGTTATTGTTCTTGCTTCTCTGGTGGGGACTTTTACGACATGAGAGAGAGAGAGAGATGTGCGGGCTAATCTGTGCGGCTGGCCGCGATACAGTCGCGCTTTATCAGACGGTGGATTGTACGGGCACGGCGTTCCAGGCGCCTGTGGGTGGATGTGTAACGGGTGATGGGCCGTTTGTTAGTGCGTTTGTGACGTGTGCTTAGGGGTGAGTTTGGATTTATCAAGGGGTAGGGGTAGAGGTTGAGGTAGAGGTAGAGAAAGGTAGAGGATGGTAGAGGAGAGATAGAAGGTTTTAGCCTTGCAATTGGCATCTAGTCTCTCGTTACACATTTGACATCAAGTCTTCTCCGCGCATGGTTTCCGAAAGGAGCAGCATTTGTATATTCTGGCCAATGACATGTACCCGTATGTATACGGGTTGGAGAAAGTGCAAAAGTGGGGGTTGCGCTGGATCGTCGGTGCCCCGCTTTCGGGTTCGTCATGCTGGTCACGACATATAGCCATGATGTGATGACACCGTGGGTATGGCGTCGAAGGCAAAGAAGGCGAAGCTTTTCTGCTATTTATGCCGCGGATAGGTGTGGGTGCTGGGCGCTGGATTCCCACTTTTCTTTCGGACTACACATCAATCCACCTCGAGGAGAACAGTTAACACGAGTAGGAACATGGGCAAAGATCACCCCGACGCTGATATTCATCCTGAGGCTACAGGCCTAGCAGCAGCGACAGTCAAGGTGAGCTGGCAAAGCTTACCACTGCCACGTTACAATCCTAACCCTATTCAGGCACACTCGGCAGAATGTCCTCTGAAGCTGTACGCAGGCTGGTTCTGCCCTTTTGTGCAGCGCGCGTGGATTGTGCTCGAGGAAAAGGGCATCCAGTACCAGTACATTGAAGTGAATCCCTATCACAAGCCTCAGTCGCTGCTTGATCTCAATCCGCGCGGTCTCGTTCCCACGCTGCAATACCAGGGCAAGCCACTGTATGAGAGCACTGTTCTGTGCGAGTTTCTCGAGGAAGCCTTTCCACAACACACGCCGCATTTGATGCCAGCGGATCCGTATGAGCGCGCGAGAACGAGGATCTGGACAGACTACGTGGGCACTCGCATTATCCCTGCCTATCATCGCTTCCTCCAGCACCAAGGCGACGGACTGGAAGAGAAGCAAAGCGACTTTCTAAACCACATCAAGGAATTCACGCGCGAGATGGACAGCGAAGGGCCCTTTTTCGCAGGAAAAGACTTTGGCCTCATCGACGTTGCAATTGCGCCCTGGGCCAACCGGCTGTGGGTGTTTGATCACTTCAAGGGGGGTTCAGGCATTCCTGACGAGGGCCAGGGCGGCGAGGACGACGGGGTTTGGAAGAGATTCAGGAAATGGCTGGCTGCGGTCGAGAGCAGGAAGAGTGTCAAGGAGACGCTGAGTGAAAGGCAGCACTACCTCCCCATTTACCAGCGATATGCGGAGGATCGGGCGCAGAGCGAGGCGGCAAAAGCAATACGGGCCGGCCGAGGCATGCCGTAGGTGTGAAGCGCGGCGATGAATAGTGGCTGAGAAATGGATTTCTGATGAACAGGCGATGCACAGGCGATGCACAGTGCTGCACGAGTGACGTCAAAGCCCTCGTGGTGTTTCGAAACGCTGGGGTTGCCCAGGCGACGCTGTTGACAAAGGCGACCCACCAACACGGCCACAACCGGCTAAGCGTCAACGCTTCCACGTCTGCATCCACCCTCGACTCCCTTTGCCCATGCGACTGACTTCACCTATGCGCCGGCGCTCCACCTATTCCAACTAATCCAACCATACACCCCGCCGCCATGTACAGGTACACCGCAGGCACGCCCTGCCCGGCGCCCCATGCCCCAACAAACAGCTGTTACGCCGGCTACCCAAATCAATACGCGCCTAGCTATCTCGACGACGGCGACAACACGACGGCAAACCTCGAATACACGACCGAATTGAAGCCGCCGACTCGCCAGCCAAAGCCGCGCAGGCCGTTGCGCAGCTCCCACAACAAATCCACATTCAACCCCTCGCTGGATATTTTTGAAGATGTCGCACAGGAGGAAGAGCAGCAGCAGCGAGCAGCCTTTGACGTCAAGAGGAGAACCCGCGCCAGTCTCGTGCCCGCAGCTGCAGGGTCAAAGAAGAGCACCATTCTCGCACATCCAGCACAGAAGATGCCCAAGCCCGCCGCGCCCGTTCAGGAGCCCCAGCACGAGAAGCCCCGGCGACGCGTGTCGCAAGCTCCCAGCGAAAAACATGCGCCCGAGGTCAACGCCACCCTGGTGCTGCAGGAGGATATTTTGGACAAGAAGGAACTTAAGAAGCCCGGTCCCAAGAAGGAGGCGCGCCGCAGGACTATTTACATTCCCACAGACGAGACGTCCATTTTCACCATCCACCCAGGACAGCCCACACATGCGCCGCGCAACGCCCGCCAAAAATCGCCAGATCTCGGACTCGATCTCGTCACCCTATCTGATGAGGAAGGCAACAATTTGCAGCCAGCGCTGAAGAAGGAAAAGAAAGTGCCGCGCAAGTCGCTCGCCGCTCCCCCTAAACGCGGCCCTCTCAGCGCAACGTCGCGCTCGACGCAGAGCTTGTCTTTTTCAAACGACATTGCAGGTTCGGGAGGCGGCAAGGAGAATGTGCCTCCGGGCATGGAGGTGTTTGCGAAGAAGGGCACTGGAATGCACATTGAAATCAACTTTACCAAACCAGAGGCCAAGAAGCCCGTAGTGAAGGCTTCCAAGGTTCATTTCAGCGCGCCCAAGGAGCCCGAGAGGATACTGCAGACCAAGAAACGAACCGAGGGCACACAAAAACGACCGCGATCGCGACTCGCCCACGACGATGTGCCGGCCAAGGCGCTCAAATCAAGGGCAGATGGCACCGCGTCCACGGCAAACAGCAGCGCATCTCTGAGGTCGACCATCAAGACTGAACGAGCAAAACTGGCCAAAGCAAAGCGCGCCCCACTGTCTTCTTCCCCGTTCCACACCGACAAGTCACCGCCCACGGCCCTCCGTAAGCAAAAGACTGCAAGCGTAGCAAGTAGCATTACCATGCTTCACGAGGTCGGCGAGCGACCACAGCCGCGGGAAAAATACCCAGTGCTATGCGAGGATCTTGCGCAACCCGAACTCTACGAGGACAACTGGCTTACCTACCAGGAGGTGGCTATTACACAGCTTCTCAACTCTGTATTCGACTCGGCAAACAAGGACCCGAATGCTGAGCAGAGCCCAGAGGATTTGCGCAAAAAGATGCTTGCCATTTATCAGGATCCCGCGGTGCCATCACTGCACAAGCGTCTACAAGCTTCGCTACAATTCGGCGCACTCAGCATACCCAAGGATCTGCTGGCCCAGGCGCTCAGGCTAAAGGATGATGTTGGTCTGCGCAAGAAGTTTCTCAACCTGTGGACCAAGTCGTACGACCTGAGTGCACTGCGGGCTGCAGCCGAGACGATTGTGGGTCGCCAGATCACAACGCCATGCCGCTTGTCCACTGGCTCCACGTGCTCAGACGACGGGTCCCGCCAATATCGCGCTGAACGACGGGCAATTGAAAGCTTCTTGTCTTCGTTCTTGATCAAAAACGAAGATGCTGTTCGCGTCAAGTCTGGCGGCGGTAGCATTGCCAGTCTCACACGGGGTGACGACGATTTTGGATCCCAGGGCTGGTCCTGGCGCCGTACCGCACTGCGGAGTCTGATGCTCATCCTTGTTCTTGATCAGGCAAAGACTACAAATGCCCTGTCGGGCTGCTTGTTCCAGACGACGTCGCCGTACAAGACGTCCGTGGAGATTCTCCATCATTTGTCCAAGATGCTTCTTCCTTCGCACGGCGACATTACTCGACCGCTCCACCATCTCGGTTACAAGGTCGAGCATGCCCAGTACCCGCTGCAGGAGTACACGTACCAGATTGAAAATATTGCCATTGACCTTCGCGATGGCGTTGTACTGAATCGTCTAGTGGAGCTGCTACTCTATCCATCTACCCCAACCGCAGAGACAGAAGACACCGTGACACTGAACATGCCAACGGGCGAGCTACTTACCAGCGATGTGTCACACAAGGACTTGTGGGTGCTATCTCAGCATCTCAAGTACCCAGCCATTGGTCGTGCACAAAAGGTTTACAATGTGCAAGTTGCCCTGGCAGCCTTGAGCAGTGTCCCCGGTATGCCCAGCGCCGCAGCCAGCGGAATCCGCGCCGAAGACATTGTCGATGGTCATCGCGAGAAGACGCTTTCCCTCCTCTGGTCACTAGTTGGGAAATGCGGGCTGGGAAGTCTCGTCGACTGGCCACAGCTAGTCAAGGAGACGGAGCGCTTCCAAAACCAATGGTACCGAACAAGAGACAACTTTGAAGACCGAGCACTCGACTCGGAGAACGACGAGGACACGAGTGAAGTAGATGGACTGGCATACCACAAGCGTCTTCTCCTCTCGTGGTCACGCTCAATCGCGCGTCTCCACGGCCTGCGCGTAGCCAACCTCACCACGAGCTTCGCCGACCCGAAAATCCTCGAGGTCATTGTAGACACATACCTGCCTTGCAACGTCGCCAACACGCTCGACAGCGGACGCCTGGGTCTGGCGGCAAAACTCAGCGCCGTCGGCTGCTCCGCTTCCTTCATCGCGCTCTTCACGCCGCAGAACAAAACGGCTCGCTCCATCCCCAGCCGCGACTTCACACTACTCACCCTCTCGTTCCTAGCCTCGCGCCTCCTCCCACTCGCACGCACCCACCGCGCCGCCACAAAAATCCAAACAGCATTCCGCCACTTCCTACTGCGCCACCAGACGCACATGCGCATCAAGGCCATGCAGCTTGCGCACGCCTGCGCCGTCGTAGCCCAGGCCCGCCAGAAAATGCTCCATGCCGCCACGCTGATCCAGCGCCGCTGGAAAAACATCCAGGCCACGCGCCACAAGCAGCTTGAAAACGACATTCTGGCTTTCCAGGCGCTCGCCCGTGGCTGGGCGATCCGCAGGTGGGTCAGGCGTATTACCGCCGGCAGAGTCGGCGGCAAGGAGAAGGTTAGGCGCGTTAGGGGTGGGTGGTGAAAGACTTGAGTCGTGGAAATTGATCGAGTCATGTGCAAAGAAAGAAAGAAAGAAAGAAAAAAAAACACAGAAGGTGAGATTGGAAAGGGAAAAATGAGGTTTTCATGATGGAGCTTTTTTTAGGGGGGTGGATTTCCTGGGTTTTTGTTTCTTTTGGAACTGGAGGCGTTCTTGGTTTAGGTTGGGGGTTTTTTTTAGTCGGGTGCTTTCTTGGGATTGGGATTGGGATGGATGGGCGTTTTCTCCTTCTTCTTCTTTCTCTTTCTTTTTATTTTTTTGCGTTACGACAGCGTTACATGTCATGTCCCCCCGCACCCTTTCTCTTGACTTGATTGTCTTATTTCCTCGCGCTCGCTATATATCCACATATCCAGATTGTTTTTTTTTACAATACTCGTCATCATTGCACTTTGTCATTCGCCTCTTCCACCGTGACTCGAATAGTGGGTATAGCGTGAAGCAATCTAGACAGTAGTACTGACAACTTGTTGCATGTCAGAACCACATTACACATGTCTTGGTTTCATCTATTCGATTGGAGGTGAAGTAATAATGGAAATGGGACTAGCATACAGGAAAAGTACATCACAACAACTGCCATTCAGTATCTGTCTCTTTGTGGGGAGACGTAGGACTCAAGGTAGCGTCAATCCACTCGCCATCGACGCTGTCGTCTTCACTTTTGCCACGCGGCGATTTCTTAATCTCCTGGTCGTGCTCGCTGGACTCATCGCTGGGCGTAACATCCGTGGGGCCTTTAGCGGGGGACTTGGAGGTGGGCGGGGCAAAGTGTTTTCAGCGTCTAGGAAAGCAGTGGCAGTAGTATATACTCTTGTTTGACCGACCCAGTGAGCATCGTCGCCGGCAACAATGATCTTGGTGTTGTGGTCGTTGCTGCGAAGAAGAATGCTGAATTCGCGTGCGGCATTCCACATTCGCATGCCGTTGGGACAGACGTACAGGTAGAGTGCTTTTAGCGCCGGGACCGTGTGCACAATGTAGTCTGCGAGATGGGCGTATGCCCGGCGAGTCGCGTCGTCGGAGCCGTCTTCCTCGTAGGGCTGGATGAGCAGACAGAGACTCGAGACGTGGCCGCGGGCCAGCGGACTGAGGCTCTGCAGCCAGGTGCGCGTGGCATATGCTTGGTAGCGGCCGCGGGGACAGGGCCCCGTCAGGAAAAGGAACGTTGCGTCCTGGTAGGCGGCTGGGTCTGCGGCGTCGTGGATGCGGCGCCGTCGGTTGTGCTCGTCGCTAGTTGCAGGGCGCAGCATGTTGAGAGGCCCGCGGGGGGCGTCGAGGACCCATAGAAGGTCGTCTGCCGTCTTGAAGTGGACGGCTGGCCCCACGCATCTGAAGCGCGTGTAGATGTGGCCTGGCTCCGAGGCCTTCTGGGGCGACAGGTCTGCTCGTGGACAACGGCATATGTCGATCTGGGATTGCCCTGCAAACGTCGTGTTGCTGGGGTTCTCGAGGTGCGGCCAGTCGAGTGCGTAGTTGATTGTGGTGACGTTGTCTGGCAGTGACAAGTGTGGCATTGGTCTGTCCACACTCGGACACATAGCAATGCTGGCGGCGTGCAGGGAAGTCTGCAGAAACAAAGTGTTTGGCTGATGGAGGCAGGCAGGGTTGTATGTTGTCTCGTCAAGCCAGGCGCGATGATGGAGTGGCGGGCCGGGCCTGACTCGGTCTGGTTACTTCCTTGTCAACGCGGCCAGACACGAAGTTGATAGATCATGGTGCATAGCGCGCCGTCTGCTGCGTCGAGAGGGTTCCAGGGGGCGTGTAGCAGTCGTGTGAGAAGGCGGATGCTGTGTGCGCCGGGTGCTAAGAATAGCAGGCTACGTTGGAGCGCGAGGCGAGGCGAGGCGAGGCGAGAATGCGTCAGCAGGCGCGAGTACGTGTATGTAGCGGAGGCGGAGGCGGAGACGGAGCCAGAGCCAGAGCCAGATTTGCAGTGCGTGGCAGGACGAGGCCCGGATATCGTGTCAGCTGGAATGGTGGCGTTGGTGGCCAAGTGGGTGGGCGGATGGCAGGAGAACAGGCGCGATGCTAAGCTTTGGGCGGGCTCGACTAAGGCAGGGCTTGGCTCGGCTAGCTGCTACTATGGAGGAATCGCTCTAATATGGCCATGGAAGCCGATGCGTGACCGTCGTCGTGGTGCTGGAGGTGAAGAGGTAGCGTGTGTGTGCAACGTCATTGATCGTGGGCCCAAGCGGCATGCGCTTCCTAGATAAGCGTCGCCCACACCTCGACCGTCGCGCCAGGCCGTGAAGGAAAAGAAGAGGAGGAGGAGGAAGAAGAAGAAGCACAGCAACAGCACAGGAACCAACGCTACATGGCCGTGCTGCTCCATGACCACCCGCCGCCACCATCACCACCACCACCACCGCCTTCTTGATGGACGAGACTGGCAGCGCTGAGCCCCAGACGCCCACCGCCGAGGGCCGCAGCTCGCCACGGCCGACGACGCAAAAGAGCAGCAGCCATGCGCCCGCAAAGGCAGACGCCGCCGCCGTCGAGTCGCACGACTTCGCCAACCCCACGCTCAACATCATCAGGAGGTTTTCCCGCAAGGCATCGACAAGCTCGCTGGCATCGCGCGACCCAACGCCGCCCCCGCTGCCCCCGCGGCCCGCGCTCGCTCTGCTGTCGCGCCCCTCGACGGCGCACTCGATCGCGCCCAGGACGCGCAACCTCAGCGTGGCCGACGACGCCGCGAGCATACTCAGCTATGCGCGCACGGTCGACGCCGGCTATCAGGAGAGCATCCTGGGCGAGGTCATGGGCCCGGCCGAAAAGTCGGAGCAGGAGAAGTCGCTGCTCCGCTCGCTGGGACAGAAGTGCGGCGACGCAGAGGCGCAGAGCATGTTTCCCCCCGATGCCGACTTCGAGGCTGCCTTTGCCCGCGAGTTCGACGACGTGGACGAGCTGGCGCCCGATGGATCCAACCAAGGTCAGACTCCTGCCGCCTGTCTCGACGTGGCGCTTGCTGATGCAGTCAACAGAAGCCATGATGCTCCAATGGCGCGCCAAACTCAAGCACTTCCTCATCCTCTCGAGCGCCGGCAAGCCCATCTACAGCCGACATGGCGACGACCAGCTCATCACAAACTACATTGGCGTCGTCCAGACCATCATCTCCTTCTACCAGTCGACCCACGACACGCTGCGCGGCTTCACCGCCGGCCAGGTGCGCTTCGTCGTCATGTCAAAGGGCCCGCTCAACCTGGTGGCCATTACGCGCCTGCCCGAGAGCGACTCGCAGCTCCGCTCGCAGCTCGAGGCGCTGTACATGCAGATTCTCTCGACCCTCACGCTGCCCAGCATGGAGCGCATGTTTGCCGCTCGCGCAAATTACGACCTCCGCCGCCCACTGCAGGGGACAGAGACCCTGTTGTCGGCCTTGGCAGACGGCTTCACACGTGGATCGCCGTCGACGCTGCTGTCGGCGCTTGAGTGCTTGAAGCTCCGCAAGTCGCACCGCACCGCCATCAACCATACATTACTCAAGGCGCGCTCCGAGAAGCTGCTGTATGGCCTGCTAGTGGCATCTGGTAAGCTCGTTTCCGTGGTCCGACCCAAAAAGCACAGCCTGCATCCCGGCGATCTTCACCTGATCTTCAACATGCTCTTCGAGGCCGGCAGCGTCAAGGCCGGAGGCGGAGAGAACTGGATTCCGCTGTGCCTACCCGGCTTCAACAATACAGGTTATTTGTACATGTACGTCAGCTTCTTGAATCTGGAAGATCCCACCGAGCACATGCAACAACGGCCTCGCACGAGCGACGGCGCGGACGATGAAGTCGCCGTCCTCCTCATTAGCGCCGACATATTGCATGGAGGACAAAATATCACGACGCCCAACTCCCTTGGTCTCCCTGTCTGCCTGGCCGATCATGTCATGTCGCCGATAAGACACCATGTAGGAAAGGACCCATGGAGACGGTAACTTTGGGGGGGGGGGCAGGGCCGAAAAGAACCAGGAGATGCAAAAGTCGGAGTAAAGAAAACTCCATGTCAAAAACACCCTCCCCACAGTAGCCTCGGCGATGTTCGTAAAGGCAAAAACACCATAGTGGCAGCATGGCTCATCGGGGATGACAGCCATCCGAAACCGACCAGAGGGACCCGCGACTTCGTCAGCCGTTCTTATTTTTTTCCCTTCCCATGCACAACTTGGCTCACATGGAGGATATAGCCAGGGCCACGCATGACTACAGGCTGCGTTAATTTTGCCCTCGCACCCTCCCCTTGGTGCGCTTACCCCACATCATTCGATGCAATATTGGCACGGTATTGGTATGGAAAGGCACTTGACTAGCCCTCCACGCGTCTTGACATGGAGCGCGTGGCCTGGCCCGTCTGGGATTAAGGAGTTTTTGCAAATACGACAGCATCGGAGGAAGAGAAAGTTTACCAGTATATGTACATACCTCGACCAGGTCGTCTCTCATTCGTCTCAGCTCGAAGAAGCTCTCCTTGAGAGCGGCAGCGGGAAAGAGAACGACACACACACACAGAGAGAGCGTTTACACTAACGGGTGTCTCCGCAGAACTTGCAGCGCAACGGATCCATCGAAGCGATACGAACAGCGGTCCACCAAGGCCGTCCCACATGCACGGACATAGTCCCCGGCACTCCGCTAAGACACTTTCTGTACAAGTCGAGGGGTAACGTGCAATTTACCATGCCGAGCTATGCTCCGTACTTCAACGGCGACCTGGAGAGGAGACGGTATGTATTATTAATCATTGACAATCCATTTCCCCCCGCCGCCTCGACTTGCCTCTTCCATGACATGTAGTCATGTCCCGCTCCTCCGCCTTGGCAGAAACAGCAAACACACATCCAAATCCAGACCAATCGACAACGACAAGGGTCCGTCGGGGAGTTTGTATCACTGCATATTTGCCCAGATTACCTTTGCAGATTGCTTCTCACACACGCACACATACACACTATTTCTGCCTGGCATGTCGGGCTCCGTGTCAAAGTGTGAAAAAGAAGCTTATTTCCCTTTAATTTTCGTTTGCATATTGCACCTCTCTCTCTCTCTAGCAAGCAAAGCAACCAAAAAAAACTTTAAGATTGGGAGCTGACAACGCCGGTTTTAGCTTGATTGATGTGTACAATAAGCTTCACAGCAATGTGCACAGTAAGCCCGCGTCGCTCAAGGTGCACCATGAAACCAATACGACGTGTATGGCGCTCGCGTGGAGCACGCCCTTGTTCGAGCTGTATGCTGTTGCCCCCGCGAATACGTCGCGCGCCGCTCTGGCCCAGAGCGCAAATCAGATTGTCCAGTGGGTGCGCAGGGAGGAAGAAAGGGTTTTTATCATCGGCGGTGCGGTCTTTTGAGTGGCTTGCCTCGTCAAGCTGTAATTCATGTCACCGTTGGGAAAGATATGTTGACTGGTGTCCATGTCAGATGAGAAGGTGTGCGAGTCCGTCTACTTGATGCCCGGGCAGTACGCGCGCCCTTTTATTCATGCCAAGTAGTTATAGTGTGCATGGCATATTAGGAACAAACGTGAATAGATGACACCCATGAGGAATAAGATCAAAGACTTTCAAAGTGACACCCGAATCCTAGTTTTCATGGCACTGCTGTAGACGACATGAAGTTGCATATACATATGCACATCGACATAGACATACATACACTCATGATCTATCCATGCCTTGGCAAAACACGCGCATCTTCCATCTGCTCAAACACATGCTTCAAACTCGCCCACGTATCGCTATATCCCATCCATCCACACTCCCTCGCCTTGCTCATGCTAATCACGAGGTCGAAATTGCGGCCTAGCACAAAGCCCAGGAAAGACCATGTCGCTTTGTCAAACGCCGTCTTGTCCAGGCCCTCGCGCTCGGCAAGGGCATGCCACGCTTGCTGGACATCGGCGCGCTGCGACCACTGGACGAGATCAATATGCTGCTCTACCTTGTTGGGGTGAAGCACTGGGGTGCCCTCGACACCAATGGCATCGGCTTGCAGCGAAATAGGGGGTCGGGGCGCCATGTCCATGGTGGAAGAAGCCGGGGTATTTGTTCCGACGACTTTCTCCATAATCTTTTCCGTCATGCTACCAGTGCTGTTGCTGGTGCCAAAAGCATTCTTGAACTGGTCTGGTTTGACGCTGATGCCAAAGTAGGCGGTGACTTTTGGCCAGAGATTCTGCCAGCTCTCGACGTCGCCGTTGACCACGTTGAAGGCCTGGTTCGCGGCTCGTGGCTCCAGCGCGGCCCACGCGCAAAACTCGGCGTGCAGCTTGGAACTAGTGAAGCAATCAAAGTGCGTGTAGAAGGTGGGCGAGCCGGGAAACTCAATTCCACTGCCGCTGGACATTTCCTTGGATACTAGCACGTACAGAGCAAGGGCTGCAGAGAGATTCATAAAGTTGCCCATTGCAAAGCCAATGACGTCGTTGGGGTACGTAACCACCCATTCCTTGTTGTGCTTTGTGCAAAAGTCGTGGAGGATGTTTTGCTGGTTGTAGTAGAAGTTTGGGGGCCATTCCGAGGAGGTTAGCCAGGGTGCGTCTTCGTGCATGGGTAGCTTGGGCAGGCCAAGATGGACTCCGTATTGTTTGGCGCCGCAGACTAGGATGATGCGCTTTACTTCTGTAATCACCCCGGTTTTCTCTAGTGCGCAAAGAAAGTTGGATAGCATACGGCCATTGACCTCCCAAGCATCTTCTTCCTTGTCTTGAGCAAGGTAGGCGGCGAAAAAGATGTATTCCCCGCGCACATTCTTGAGATCGCTTGCCATGGAGTCTGGGTCCGACTGGAGGTCAATGTGGTTGTGGATGACGTTGTCAGAATAGTCTTCTTTTTTGCTACGCGACAGGGCGTGGATGGTTGGCCATTGTTGGCGGTGTTGGCTGAGTTCCGAGACAATCTCACGGCCAAGAATGCCTATGGTATGTTAGGTAGGTCAGCTTTGAGCAGTACCAAGACATACCAGTGGCGCCAGTGACTATCGCTGAAGGCATCGTGCTGTGCAGTTTGTAGAATGTTGTAATTAGACGCTGACCAGATAGACACTGCTATGCTTGCACTTGTATATACACATTAAGGTATGCATGACGTAAGGATGTTTTCATGCAAAGGCATGTCACAAATTCGCAATAGCGTAGTCATCTCCACGCGATTGAGAATACACATAGAGTGGCAAAATGTCCAATGCTGGTCGTCTCAACTTGCTCTGATGAGATGTAGAGCTGTGGCATGTACACCAGACGCAACCAGTTGGTGGCATCTTGGATGAAGGAGAAGTGAGCGGTGTAGTAACGTGGGGCAAAGGCCTGAACACAATGCGTCTGCCGCATTGCCGGTTTGCTGCGAGTGACCATTTCTGGCTCCGTGTGTTGAGGCGACTTCCTGCCGAGTAGAGAGGCACGGTCTGTGTGAGTCGAATTTATACCGCGGTCGGACAATGTTGGACGGGTTTTAGTTCCGAAGCATGCGTGGACAGCCATGGGGTCGCAGGAGGAAGCGAGCAGAAGTCGGATGTGCTCATTTGCGAGGGCGCTTTTGCCAGGTGAGTTCTCTGAATTGGTTCTTCACCTCGTCCTTGAAGTGATCAAACGACGAGGGGCCGGTTCCTAGCAGGGCCGTCAGTCTATGGGTCTCTGGCGGCGACATGTGCAACCTACTGCCGCCACCATTCTTCTGCTCAAAGTCTGGCAGCCTATGGATCTTGCGATATGCCTTTTGCACGGCGCGGTTGAAGGCGGGCGATCGGATCAGCTTGGAAGCGTCAGTGAACAGCGCCGTGTGCAGTGGCCAGGGCAATATTGACGTACGCGTGCAACGGCCCATGCCTGGACTCAACAGTCAGTGTGATTGCTATCCTTGGGGTGGCGAGGGCATTTCACGTACCTCGAACAGTGCGAACCACGGCCCCATGGCGGGCTCAGTCGTGCATGCGCGGGATAAGGAATGCAGGAATGCGCAGCGATGTATGTCAAGACGGTGAGATGATGTTGTGGTGGTGGGGCTCAGGCGAGGGCGGAGGTGGCGGTGGTGGCGGGAGTCGGGCGGGAGAGGAGGATAGAGGTGGAGGCTCTTAATCGTGATTGTGATGGACACGAGGGGGGGAAATGTCGGACCGGCAGCGCAATCGGCTAGGCGGCCGCGCCTGGCATTGGCAGTGGAGCCCGGCTTCCATGGTGTTTTGTTTTGGCGGCCATTGCCAGGCGGGTGCTCTTAAAAACACGCCGTCTGCCTGCCTGCCTATTTCTCTCTCTGGCTGGCTGCCTGCACACGCGCATTCCTGCTACCCCGCGGCCATCTACACATACACACCACACACGCGCACGACTCGGGACCTCCACATCTTCCCCCCTCGGCCTTGCATAGAGGGCGCGCAGCCACACGCCGGCGCTACTTGGTACGGCGTGGCCGCGATCCGCCACAGGCCATCGGCAGACCTGGTTCTTGGGAGAGGGAGACGGTCCGGCACTTGTGTGCTTGTGCTTGGATGCCTATGTGGGTATAGGCGTCTCTCGCCCCGACGCGCAACGGCCGCGACTGCAAATACACACACACACACACGACAACAATAACACGACGACACGACACGCTTCGACTCGCCTCACTCACGCACTCACTCGCCCCGCCTCGACGGGCGCCTATCGCAGAGAACACGCTGGCAGCAGTAGTACAACTGGCGCAGCATTAGCCGCCCGCCGTCACGTCTTATACTTTCGCGCCTGGCAGCCCCTCCCCCACTACGCACTCTCTCCCTCCGACCACGACTCAACCCTCTTCAAGTTGCATAAACTCCGCGCCCTCCGGCGCAAGGCGAAGCTCAAGGGCGGCCTCATTAGGACCGACCCAGCCATGGCCAGCCCCGACGATCCCATCTCGCCCTCGTCGTCGAAGCGCTCGCGCAGCAAGGACAGCCTGCGCTCGCTCACCACGTCGTCGCTCAACACCCCCGCCGCCAACACGCCCACGGCCAGCACAAACAGCCTGCTCAACCCGCTGTCTGTCCCCGGCACCCCCGCCACGCAAGACAATGCTGCCCCCCACGCCATCCCGTATCCCGCCTTCCTCGCCTCGACCAGACATGTCGGCGCCAAGTGGCTTCGCCTCGAAACGGCCCTGGCGGAGCGCTTTCGCGACGCTGCCCAGCCCACAGACGCCGATGAGCCCTCGAGATGGGCACGCTGTTGCGGCGAAGACTATGCTCTGCGCAACCGCTACGGCAACGTCGACCCCTACCAGGCACACCGCGTCCGCCTCGTCGTGCCCGAGGGCCACTTCGACTACATTAATGCCTCGCCCATCGTCCTCGAGACGACCAGCTCGCACACGCCGCTCAAGTACATCGCCACGCAGGGCCCCAAGGCCGAGAGCTGGTCGCACATCTGGCGCATGATCTGGCACGAGAACACCTCGCCTGCCGTCGTCGTCATGCTCACGCAGACGGTCGAGGGCTACCGCGAAAAGTGCCATCCCTACTACCCGCAATCGCTCGACGAGCCCGACCTGCGCGTCAACGAGCACGACGAGTTCCAGGACGGCCTCATCCACAACCTGCACTTGGCCTCGTGCACCATCGACGAGGAGGCGAGGACCCAGGTCCGCGAAATCGACATGACGACCGACGACGGCAGCGAGTCCAAGAAGATCTGGCACCTGCTCTTCGCTGGCTGGGCAGACTTCTCAGTGCCAGAGGGCGACGACCGCGCCGCCATGCTGAAGCTGATTGAGATGTCGCGCGCAAGAAACTCGGACAACACGGCCAACCCGCGCATTGTGCACTGCAGCGCAGGCATTGGCCGCAGCGGCACGTTTATCGCGCTCGATTGGCTCATGCAGGAGCTCTACGAAGGCTCGCTGGACAACGTAGCAGAGACCGAGGACCCTGTGGTCAAAGTGGTTGAGATGCTTAGGGATCAGCGCCCCGGTATGGTCCAGTCCAAGGTCCAGTTCCAGTTCATCTATGACGTCCTTCGCCACCAGTGGCGCGACCGATGGCTCACTCAGCATCCTGACGAAGCAAGCCAACTCGGCCTTGGCAGCGCCGCAGACACGCCTGACAGCGAGCCTGCCCTCAAGCGCCAAAAGTCTGTACACAACGAAGAAGGTTATCTGTCGCCACCCACTGCATCGTCCCCGCTGAGCAGCGGGGGTGCATGCGACTCGCCAGAAGCTCGCGCACAGCTCGAGGCCGAACTCCAAGACGCAGACCTCGAGTACGAAAACGGCAAGACTTAGTGGCTTCTGCCTACTCGCTCGCATGCGGGCGACGAGAGCGTGTCACGGAACTCGCTTGCTCTGGTGCATACCTACGACAATGCCTTTGAAGCGGGCGCTGGGCCACCCATTGTCCCTGTTGCGCCGCCTCCACTTGCTACTGCTGGCCCTGTACTTGAGCATGTCGGGGCCGATGGCGAGATTGAGCAGCAGCAAGACGGTGCTGCAGATGCCCAGGTGCAGCCAGATCCGCCCTCTCCTCCACCTCCTTCTCTCATTGCCCAAAGTCGTGTGTCATCGCAAGCGTCTCTGTCCGACTCACTTTCTGCTCACGAACCCATGTGTAGCCCCGGCCAGGTGGTTGTGTACGCAGCTCTTGCTTGTTTTTGCATTGTCAGTCTCATGTTTGTCTACTGGGAGAGTCCCCATAGATTGTAATTTTTTTCGTTATTGTTTGGTTTCAAGATGCATAGCCATGCGGATATACCCCTTGGGTTGGGTTTGGGTTCAGGATAGGGTGGCCGAGCAACGGAGGGGGGAACCAGAGCAACTAGAGGCATTGGTAATTCTAGATTTCCAAACTTTGGTGTCGGCTTCACGTTTGCATTTGCCCGCTCGGGCCTTCTGGGTTGGATATACGTACGCCTCAGTCTTATCTTCATACATGGCAGTAGACGCCGTCACTACGTGTCCCTTGTCTCCCGGCACTTGCATCTGCCCGCCTGCCTGTCTGCCCTCGACATTGCGCAACAAGAGTACGGCCTAATTCCACCCGCCGCAACACTGTCTATTTCCCACTGCAATTAGCATTTGTTACCGTTCCGGTCAGATGGGAGGAGGGGCCATAAAGGCTCTCTCCCACATTCAGCCTCGGAATTCCGTCAGAAACGTCCCGCACCATCCTTGCTATTGAGCTGCTGAACCCTGTCGACGAGCATCTACCATTATGGCCTGACAGATAGAACGGGTAGACGGACAGACGGACATAAGGAAAAAGAGAGAGAGAGAAAAGTTAGCAGACTGACAGCTGCCATACCATGGCTCTGTCCAGTCCAGGCCCCCATGCTACGAGAGCATGAAACCCCGTTTTTTTGATGCCCCGCTCGTCGACGTCTGTTACTCATACGCTCATGATGCTCTATGGCCAGGTTTTCTGCTTTCGCCTTGCGTCCGATGCATGTCCCTGTCGCCCCTCGATCACGCCTTTGGACCTACGTACATAGGCTGTACAGGCCCTAAAACCGCGGCGGCGACATATGCGCGCGCGCGACCGCCCGCCCCCTGTAGAAGAAGGGTAAGGCCGGCGTACAGACCGCGCAGCAGGCCGGTATTAGTCCGTGTGTGCTATGTTTGCTTTTGAGCAGGGGGGCCTCTCGCGCTTACTCGCTCGCTCGATGCTCTCGTCCCGTCTCATGCATGACTCGGGGAGCATCACAGGGCTTTTGTACGGTAACGGCCTGTGTTACGTTCCGTATGTGTATCGATGTACAGTAAGAATTTAGGGAAAACCCAGAAACCAGTCAGAAAGTCTATGTGGCACCACCCTCGACCTTCCCCCCACCCCTGGCTCAAATCAGAGAGATCCGCGAAACACGACCAGGGCTGTTGGTTGCAGCATTCTCTCGCTCTCTGCTCGCCGCGCACCGACGTTAGCGCCCTGTATGGTATTGCCTTGGTTGATTCATTGACTTGACCATATACTAGTCTGCAGCTTCGGCAGTTGGGCCTGAAACAAGAAAAAAAGGCGTGAGGCACTTTTGTCTACACCGTGGTCGGAATCGCATTTTGCCCTACCAATAAGGGGCAGGTGGCAAAGAGGTCCTACGCCAACAAAAAGCTCCTATTTAGCTCTAGCGCGACTCTCTTCTAGATCTACGCTCTATGTGGCGATGCTAAGAACCAAGAACAGAGATCGTGATTGGTCAAAACTTCATTATTTTGGGGACTTCTGGGTCAGTTTTGCCCTCATTGGCAGGGCAAAATGCGATTCCGACCACGGTGTAATGAAAAAGGGTGAAACCCACGACTTTGGTAAAGGGGGGGGGATGTGGTGGGTAGGCAAGGGGGAGAGATTATCAGATGCTGGATAGGCAAAGACGCCAAAAAAACGTGACATGTTGACGGCTCGGATATACGACGCAGCTGGAAAAGCCGAGATCCGACGGAGCAAGGCATCAAGAAAACCAACATGGCAAAGAGACGGAAACGGTAATGGCAATGCGACTAGAGAGGAAAAGAGCGTCGGAAAGACAGGTCACTCGTATTCTTTTCTGCTTTGGGCAAGAGATGAGAGGGGGGGGTGGAGGGGTGAGGGGTGTGCAAGAGAGAGGGATCGCCATCGCCATCGCCCATCGCTAAGTATCGCCATCGCCATCTGACATCTCACCGCACAATGTCCCTCGCCCTCCGCTTGGGATTGCTGGTTTGCAACCAACGATGCACGCGGCGCTTTTTCCCTACATTGCCATGTCCGTTCATGCGATCAACGACGAGAAGAGAGAGAGAGGGGGGAAATTATTGGAAAAAAAGAGGATCGAGTAATGGCACACAGCAACCAGGAAGGGGGACAACGAGACATCCGACGCACAAAAGGTTCACTGTTCTTTTCCATCCTCCGCCCCGGCTACACTAGCTAGCAACCAAAAGCCGGGGGTGGCGTGGCGGAGCCCGGGGAGTTTGCGGCGCATCGGATCAAAGAGGCCCAGGACCCCCCCTCCCCTTTCCACCGAAAGGAGGGATCCCAAGGATCTCCAAGGGTAATAGTAGTAAAGGTTTCAATAGTAATAATGATAATTGTAGTAACAATAGTTTTTAAAAAAAACTAGTACTTTTACACTTTTACCTTACATGGTCGGTACTGGTAGTCGCGAAACAAGCAAAAAAGGAGGAGCAGAAACAAGACAAGCAGATGACACTCATGAGTGGGAAGGGGGGGGGGGGGGGAAAGAGGAGAGGTATCGGGCGCGCGCACCAAAAACGAGGGCAGAACGGTGCAGTTGCCCATAAGGACCATAGTGCTTAGATGATTTCCAGGATGATGCTAAAATAGGACAACACCAAGGAAAATTAGATACAGCCAAGGTCGGTTAATGCTGGTAGCCGAGTGTGTGTGTGTGTGTGTGTGTGCTCGCGGAGACGGAAAACGGGATATTGTCATGGATGGCGGAACATATGAGGGAGAGAGAAAGAGAGGACTATGCATGATGTGGAAGTGCGGGTTGTTTAGATAGACACATGTGGGGCTTTTTTTTCGTCCGCTGAACATCCACCTGACTGACACTGACACTGACATGACACTGACATGACACTGCTAATCGACTTAACTACCGAACGCCGCATAGCGCAAGCGAGCAAGCGAGCCAGCCTGATAGAGAAAGAGATAGTAGAGAGAGAAAAAGGGAGGTCCCCACATCACCTCACCTCACCTCTTGATCCCTCCCATGACTAACGACGCTGCAGATCCACCTTTTTACTATCTATCTATCTATCTGTCTATCTTTTGGGTGTTTTTCCGCACGCATATCCGGCGCTAAGGACGTTGATATACGTAGACTCCTTACGCGGAGAAAGACGGTGATGAAAGACGGGACATGAGTAAAAGAGACACAGGCGGTTTTTTTTTAGTGGGGGGGAGGATTTTTCGCCAAGTAGACTGTTGTACTGTACCAAGCGGACATGTGTAAGTCGCTACTTGGCTACCTTATTTACGCCTTGCCAGCCAGCCACCCATACATAGTACATTGATCCATATCCTCAGCTATGCTTACATCACGTCATATCCTCTATTTCCTCGTTTTTCCCGTTGCGCACCATGCTGCTGCGCATGCAGTGCCCTCCCTCTCTCTCTAAGTATGCTCGGTTATGTTTTTTGTTGAGTTAGTGTACTGATTATGCTAAGTACGTATGCCTTACATCAAGTATGTGTGCTATGTATGCCCGCCCCCATGCCACATACATAAAACCCCTACCCTACACAAACACACACACACATCACATATTACATGTTTGATAATCAAGATAGGTACAAGTAAATGAAGCCGGTGAGATACCCGTCTACGCGGTTACTAGCCACTAGCACAAGCGTACTAGCGAACTAGCGAAATAACGAGCATCTGGCTGTGTGTGTGGGAGAATCGGACCCCTAGGATTTTTTTTTCTTCGGAGATTTTAATCGAGGAGCAAGCGTAAGGCTGTGTATGTTATGTACTAGTGCCGTGGACGGTATAGTATGGGATTAATTGATTGATTGAGTGGATGGATTACGCGCTACTTCATGTTGATGTACAGTAAGCTTACTCTTTGGCGCCTTTTTTTGCTTTTTTGTGTTTTTTTTCCCGGTGGTGGGCTGCCGGCTTCGTGGCAAGGCCGCTGCGGAGGGTGTGTGGCTATGCCTGACTGTGTGTGGAGGCTGACATGTGTCTGTGGGTGTGGGTGTGTGGGCTTCCCGTCTTGGTTTGCTTGGGAGATGTGCATGGGTGGGTGGGAATGCGCCATGTGACATTGGCATGTGAGAAGGGAAGGGAAGGGAAGTGTGGATCGAGTAAGTAGGGGAGCGGGAGCGGGAAACACAAACACATACGTACATACACACACACACAGAGAGAGAGGGGGGGAGAGAGGAGAGAAAAGGGGCCGGTATGAAGCTATGCGTATGTACATACGTACGTGTGAGTGGCATTCCCCCAAATCGCAGCCTCACCAGATAAATTAAATCCCAGAGTCTAGGCGAGCCCGTTGTACTAATCTCAACCCCTCATCCATCTTTGGTTGTTAATGCGATATTAAAAAAACCCTCCCCATTCGCACATAGTTCCTCTCGCTCTTATTCGCAGGCGCGTACATTCCCTCGCTCTTTTTATTCTAATTTATCTTATTCGCCACTCCTATTCTCGATTTCCGGTTTTTTTGCGCTTTACTTTGATTAACACAAGACACATGATTTTCGCCGCACGCGCGTGCCTCTAGCTTGCTAGTATAGCATGGTATAGCCGTTAGTGCTAAGTGTAAGTTTGGCTAGTCAC